CACTCATCTGATGAAAAGGTGGTATTTTCTACCGTAAATAAGCTCTTGCAGAAATCAACTCCCAAGAGGTATCCTATCTGACATGACAACGCAGCGCTGGCCGATTCATTTCCTGATTTCTTCTCGGAGAAGATTGACAAAATCCACCATTTACTGTTAGCTAAACAAGATGCAATCAGCAATTATCTCACTTTAGAGCCACCTACTGAAATTTCAACGTCATTCTGCGATTTCGTTGAGGTAACAGAAAAACACATTGTGGAGTAGCCGCCAAATCTTCTAATAAATCTTGCTGTTTAGATCCTATCCCATCTATCGTCTTTAAAGGATGCGTTAAAGTGCTATTTCCAGTTATTACGAAGATAGTTAACATGTCACTCGATACAGCTACTAGTACTGTACGTAAATCCCTCAAGATTGTTACTGTCTCTCCTCTCCTAAAGAAGCCCGATGCTGATCACAACCAATTTGCTAATTTTAGACCAGTATCAAACCTAAGCCTTGTCTCTAAAATCATTGAAAAGTCTGTGGCGGTTCAACTTACCGATTACATAACGAAGCACCACTTGGGTGAGATGTTCCATTCTGCCTATAAAGTTTTCCATTCTACAGAAACCGCCTTAGTTAAAGTGCAGAATGATATTCTGCGCGCTGTTGTTACAAACCATTCTATTGTTTTGCTACTATTAGACTTACCTGCGGCCTTCAATACGGTAGACCATTCTATACTGTTGTCAAGACTAGAGCAAAGATTTGGTGTAAAAGGAAAAGTAATCCAATGGATTAAGTCTTATCTCATGGACCGTGAACAGTTTGTACAAATTGAAAACTGCAAGTCAACGTTTCGCAAATTGGTACATGGCGTTCCACAAGGATCTGTTTTGGGCCCATTATTGTATGTACTATATACTTCTCCAATAGCTGATATTATTAAGAGCTATGGTCTACGATATCATTTATACGCTGATGACACGAAAATTTGTGTGTCTTTTTTGTCAAGTTCGCAAGATCAAAGTCTGTCAAGCTTCGTACTATCACCTAAGGAACATAAGTAAGATACGAAAATATCTCAGTCCGGAAACTGCTGAAATTGTGATTCATGCTTATATTACATCTAAATTGGATAATTGCAATTCCCTTCTCTATGGACTACCTGACTATATGATTAACAAGCTACAGTCTATACAGAACGCTGCTGCGCGAGTTATCACCTTGACAAAGAAATGGGAACATATTACACCTGCACTGAAGAAACCTCGTTGGCTACCTGTTAAGTATCGCATTATCTTCAAAATACTTCTACTTGTCTATCAAGGTCTACATGGTTTAGCTCCAACTTATATTGCTGAACTGTTGCATCAAAGGAATTATGGCTCTCGTGTACTGCGTTCCTCATCACAAATGCTCCTGAAGGTTCCAAGAACATTTCGAAAGAACTTTGGTGACCGTGCCTTCTCCATTGCCGGTCCCAAGCTTTGGAACGATTTACCATATTCCCTGAAAACATCTGAATCTGCTGCAATTTTCAAGAGGAACCTTAAAACATACTTGTTCAAAGACGCTTTTTAATTTACGATTTTTTATAATTTAATCGCTATGTTGATTTGTCTAAAATTTTGTAAAGCGCTACGGAGAACTAGTGGAGCTTAGCGCTATATAAATGCTTTATTACTATTATTATTATTATTATTATTATCTGCTTAAGTTATAGGCTTTATTTTAGCTGCTCTCTCGAGGTCCAATAAGATTGAATTGCCTTGAAACGCTCTTTTTTTTCTTTTTCTTTGCTTCCCGCCATGGGACAGACGCTCGTGGCAGTTAGTCATAATCTCCCTCACCGATCGCGAATTTCCAATTTATCATAGGTGTAGATATCGCGTATTCTAAGTGTATAAGGACTGTAAGTCTCTTTAAGTCTGTATGGTCCTAAACGAGCCATATATTATATGTATAGCAGGGGCGTAGCGTGAGATTTCGGAGGTGTACGCACAGCGCGGATATTGGAGCGCCGAAGGCGCCCCAAACTAGGGGGGGTCTGGGGGCATGCTCCCCCAGAAAATTTTGAAATTTAGGGTCTCGGAAATGCCATTTTCGCGGAACTCTTTTATAAATAAATGCAATGGAAAATGCAGTAGTTAGCTGTTTATTTTACCCATCTCTAGAATTTTAAAGCTAAAAAGGGCTGTTGGGTTCCTAAAATATCTAGAGAGTTAACAGGTCTAGAAAGCCAAATAACGCTTCTTGTCGTTTACGGATTAATGAAAAGGCACTGGAAAAACAAACACACGCCGGTATAATTCAAAATTTAAAATCGGTCCTATTTTATGGTAACTCTGACAAATGCTATAAGGGAGTAAAAATTTTTTTTTTTCAGATTTCAGCTGTACGCATGGGCGTACGTGCGTCTACGGACGCTACGCCCCTGTATAGGATATAGCGACTAAGCTATAGTAATCACAGGCACCTCAAGCTCTCTTTGAGAACCACACAAAGAACACAATTTGCATATCGATTTATAAGGATTTGTATGGGATTTTCTACAAGATAGCCATAGAGATAGTTAAAAGTGAAAATATTAAATAAAAATGGCTTACCTTATTCCATACGTGTGTCTTCTAAAGAGAAAACCAGAATTAAAAAAAAAACCGATTAAATCAAGTGAGATCGGTAAAATAACGACACCAGGAGCAAGCAACACACGTATGGAATAAGGTAAGCCATTTTTATTTAATATTTTCACTTTTAACCATCTCTATGGATATCTTGTAGAAAATCCCGTACAAATCCTTATAAATCGATATGCAAATTGTGTTCTTTGTGTGGTTCTCAAAGAGAGCTTGGGCCACCTGTGGTTGGAAGACATGGTTCGCAAACTGATCGACCTTGACCTAAGTGCTCCATATTGAAAGGTCAAAGTCTTGGGTGTCATTCAAGACACGTGAACCCACACAGATGGTCAAATTCTTGGGCGTCATTCAATATGCACAAACCCCCTAGGGATCCCTGCGATATTTCAATTGGTTTGTCATGCATTCCTCTCAATAACATTTGCGTTTAGCGGCAAATGTTATTGAGAAGAATGCGAATATATGTCAAGAATGGGTAGTTGCGTTCCTTTTTGTCGCAATCACATATTTTTATTCTTTCGCATTCATCACAGCTAAGTAGTATGATCGTTTTAGGGGCGCGCTAAATGAAGACACTTTTTGGCTGCCAAATCGTACTTTCAATACGCCAAAAATGGTCAAGGAGAACTCTCCAGGCGTTACTGAAGCCAACGTTAGCCGTCAAATGTCTCAGATATCCTTAACTAAGAACTAAACGATTACCTTAACTGGGGTCAAGTTCTGTTGTTCATAAATAAAAGTTTTGATATATCATAAAAATAGATTTATGTAAGTCCTTTAACTTCTAGTCGCGAGTAAAACTGGTTCGCGACAGAACTGACTTCCGGTGTGGAAAGACTTCCGGTGTCGTAAAACGTTAGTCATTTATCAATAGAAGGTGTTTTAAATTAACAGTTCTTTACAAACGTGTCTTTATGAAAATTAAGGCCAAATTTCGCGCCTTTAGTTCGTTTTACAAACGACATTCCAAAAAATTAACCATCAA